ATGTGTGTGTGTGTGTGTGTGTAGCTGTGTGTGTGTGTGTGTGTGCTGTCAACCACCCCCTGGACTCCTCCACTTACTACCGTTTCAGGTTTAACCTGAAAATGCATATAAAATTACCGAATCAACGAAAAATTCTCAATAATAAAGAAACAAGAAAAAATACAACAACTCTAAGTACTAATACTTCATAGGGGTGTAACATCTTCGATTTCTTGTTTCATTTTGTCCAGGGGCTATCTGCGTTCCCGGTAACATAGCAGGAGTGCTACTCGGAGGTTTCATCACAAGAAAGTGGAAACTCCGCGGCCTGCAGTGCATGACATTCGTTATCATCTGTTCTGTTGTGGGGACGTCGTTGGGCGCTCTCATGTGGATCACTCCATGCGATTCTTCTGGGGTGGCGGATGGGGTTGTACAGTGAGCGAATTCAATTTTGGCGACGCCACTGAGGCGGGGTCATTAGTATTGTACTGAGATTGAGAGGAACATATTCTAGAAATTACGTCAATGTGTTCCCTATGTAATCGGTTTTGCAGTCCCTATGGTGTAGCTGTCGGGGTTGTACAGTGAGCGAATTTCAATTTTTGGCGACGTCACTGAGACGGGGTTATGAGTATTGTACTGCACTATTGAGTTGAAAGTATACTAGAAATTCCGCCAATGTATTCCCCGGGCATTTGGTTTTGACAGTATCTGATAAGAATGCTTTGCACAGAGCAGGGAAGACCTCTACTGCTTTAGTCATGCAATAGTTTGTATACACTTTTACGACTTTTTATCAATGTTTTGAATAAGCTAAATGTTATAAAGTGATATAAAAGAGTAACAAAGACCAGTTTGTTTCGGTTGTTCGTAGCTATAGGATATCTTTCATAAACTTTTACCGGAGTCGAGTGGGGAAATGGGCGTCTTTTCTCTTTTTTTGGTGCCTTCAAGACGAGTTGCTATCTATAGAAGCAACATCATCTTATGTCCTCTTTCTGAACACAGGTCCTGTCCTAGCAGAGGCTGCGCATGCTCAGATAACAACCCTATCCCAGTGTGCGGGGCGGACGGCGTGACGTACTACTCCGCATGCGTGGCCGGGTGTCAGGGTCTCCATCCGCTAAACGGAACAGCGTTTCCGGTAAATATGTGATTATTAACTGAACCTAAGACAACGCTTTAGCTTATAGAATATTATCATATAGCCAGAAGACGCACGTTGAGCAATCACTAGGCTCCATTTCCCCCATAACCCTGGTCATTAATATAATGATACACTTACCCGCTTTTCAATTGGAACACCATTCTGTTCCAAAGACGCAAATGGAACATGCGTTCTGTTCCAATGACCAGAGGTGACCTCAATTTGAACACGTTATATGATCAAATGGACAGGCCCATGATATATTTAGTTTACAAACTTATAGTTATAGGACCCGAACCGACCATGAGTGATGTCGCAGTATACAGGGCGGTCATTAACCATATATCATCTAAGCATGCATGCATTCTGGCTACAACGATCTAAGCTAAGGGGTCAAGAAAGAATGGCACATTCTACTCAGTTGAGTCATATGCAGAGGTGCTATTTAAAATGATCTGTGGTTCTTAACGCCTGTGTCTGTTGAGAAAATGATAATAGTCTGGTGGTTCTTATGTAAAGGTCACAAGCCCAATATATAACCTCTTGAACTAAAAATCCTTTTGCAAACACAACTTTTGAACGTGTTTACTGACTGAGACAACCAACATTAGATAGTACTACTACAGGGTCCAAATAAAAGGGATAGACTGACTGTATCCCGTGTTTTTTCAGACGTATAACTACACAGACTGCGAATGTTTGCAGTCTGGTACCTGGGCGCTGCAGGGACACTGTAGCACGCCTTGCCCGCAGTGGAAGTTCATCCTCTTCATGGCCTCAGCCTTCTGCCTAACATTCTTATCCGGCATGCAAATATCACCTTCGTATCAGATCTACATCAGGTGAGCATCGTTACTGTTCAAGTAAATTTTAGCAATGTGTAATCAACATTACTTTAACAATAATACCTTTTGACAGCATATTTTAATGATATTTTGTATTGACCACAGAGCAATTCAGGCATCCAGTAAGGTTGCCTGTGAGTCTGTTGTCAGAGTGTATTGTGTACATGTATATATGTTTGAGTTTTTAAATAAACCATTCTACTACTACTACTACTACTACTACTACTACTACTACTACTACTACTACTCAAGCAGAGGTTGGTGGGGAAGGCTGTTACCTTTCTATATATGCCCCAGTTTTTCTGTCGCAGTAAGCATATGAAATAGGTCACAAGAATTTAAATGAATTTAGATTCTAATACTATTTCCAGTATCTGATCTTGGTCGCCACGTTTAATATGTTCACGCGAGAACATAGACTGACGAGACATTGTGAGAGGTTGCACTAAATAGAGACTGCAAGTGGTAATTGGTCTTTTCCCCCTTAAAATTAAGCGTATAGTCAGCGTCAATATGATGCTCTTGATAATACAATCATTAATTTCATACGTTTTATCATAATTTCCCTACTGGAAAAGATTCACTTTGAGCTTTGTGCTTTTCAGATGTGTGAAGGTGGAAGAGAAATCCTTCGCACTGGGCATCAGGCATTTAGTGCAGAGGCTTCTCTGTAAGTTTCACATTTCTAACGATTCAGTCGTTGGTGAAGATCATATTATCTAAACAAGAAGGCGCTGATATAGTTTTATATTTTCTGTCCAAAATACAATTTTTGCTAGATTTGATAGCTGAGCAAATGTTTTTTTTCTAGTGGAATTCATCTTATATGATAACAGGGTGTTCTTATGGCCTTTTATTTAGTCTTCTATATGTCCTATATTAGGAATGGGCAATCAGAATGTGTAGCAATAAGCAAGTGTACGTCTGTGTTTAAGTCTGTAATGTGTTTTAAGACTCCATGAAGAATAGTGAGTATAAGCGTATACTCACTAATGGAGAGCATTCAAATAAACAAATAAACAAACAAATTAGTATAGTACAATTGTCATAAAGAGAAGATTGGTGAAAATATTCTTTACATTTCGCCCACAGCGAATATCCCTGCTCCGGTGTATTTCGGGGCGGTCATCGACGGGGCCTGCACCATGTGGCAAAGGTCATGCGGAAGTAGCAAAGCATGCTGGGTCTACAACAGGAGGCAATTTGCATACGGCTACCTCGGTCTCATGTACGGGTTGTCTGGTGGGGTGATAGTGTTCTGGGTAGCGACATGGGTGGCTCTTAGGTACCAGTGGAGAAAAACTAAGAAAGCTAAGTTACAGGCAGCCAATGGGATCGCGGCACCCTTTGACACTGATGAAACTAGACTGTAACAAGATGGCCGACTAATGACGTCACAAACCAACATGGCTGTACCCAGGTACAAGGGTTAAACAGAATAGGTTTCCCTTTCGCAAACGTATACCTGTAATTATAATATAGAAAACATTGGTTTATGTAATAAAGTGTATGATACACATTGGCGGGAAAATCCTACGTCTTAACATATCATACAATTGATGTGAAAACGCACTTCACTTTCCATTGTCCTCTAAACAATGCTAAAAACATAACACAAAACTTCCCATCGGGAATAGTTAAGTACGAGTAAAGCTTAAGCATGTACAATGTACAGGCTGGCTCAGGAAAAGGGAATGTATCTTTCCCCGTGTACAAACAACCAGAATAGTGACGGCTAGATTAAATCCTAGCTAATTATTACATTGTCTCTGCATTGTATTCTTAAGCCATGTCAGAGTGTTCTAGGTGAGAGAACTTTTTGTGTTGGACCAAAAGTTTTAACTTTAAACATGTAACTACCAACACAGATGAACTTTCATGATACTACTAATAACATGTTAATGCTGATTGGACTTACGTGCTACGGACGGTCTTAATAAACTCGTTTTGCGGTAACATTACAGCTCTTGAAATGTGATTTTGTTTTGATCATGACATAATGACTCGCCTGTTCGCATGAGATGGTTAACTACACGTGGAAAATTTAAAATGTTCTCCCACTTCAATCCTATCTAGACGGGGGGGAGGGACAAAAGTGCCCGCGCCAACTTTGATGTCGGATAGCGCCCGAACGGCTTGCGCTAGGGCCACCAAACTTGGTGAATTTTCCTCAAATATTGTTGGCAACAATTTTGTATCAGTGAAGTAAGGTAATGATTTTTTGTGTTGCCATGGCAACGGGTTTCTGACAGGCAATTTTTGTTTCAACAATAGAATTTTATGGGTTTTATGTCAATGTGGGCCGAATGAGAGCCCGCCACGAATCCCCAAATAGCCCGGTCTAGGTAGGGTTAAAAGATTGGACACACTGGAATTTTCAACTGAAAACCTCTGGTTGTTGAATAAACAACCTTATTATATACTGACAGAAGTCTTAATGTTGCAGTCGCTAGGTGAAGTGACGTAACCTGAGTCATTTGATTTCGTACCAACGACCGTATCCGGATGCTTGTCAGCATCGCAATTGTCGCTAGGGGGCGCCATTGAGTGGTGCTGTACACGCACATAGTCACTGGATATGTTGTCTTGTATTGGCGCTTTTTGGCTTTCTGCAGTGACGTGACCGGAGTCATTTGATTTCGTACCAACGACCGTATCCGAATGCTTGTCAACATCACAGTTGTCGCTAGGTGGCGCAACTGGGTGGTTCTGTACACGTACATAGTCACTGGATATGTTGTCTTTCACTGGCGCCCTTTGGCTTTCTGAAGTGATATAGCCGGTTTCGTTTACTTTCATGCCAAGGACTGTATCCGGATGCTTGTCAGCATCGCAATCGTCGCTAGGTGGCGCCACTGAGTGATGCTGTACACGTACATAGTCACTGGATATGTTGTCTTTCACCGACGCTCTTAGGCTTTCTGAAGTGACGTAGTCGGATTCGCTTGATTGCTTGGTGGCGATTGCATCTGACTGCATTTCTGTATCCCAGCCCCTAGGTGTCGCTGCTAGAGCATGTTGAACATAGTCTCCTTCCATGCTGTTATCTACAGCGCCGCCACTATTTTCAGGTGTGGCGTTTGGCCTGTGGGAGATATCGAACACAGTGCAGTGCAATGTCGAAAGGTAGTCGCTAGGTGGCGCACGTGCACTGTGCGGTAGGTCGTCGTCTGCCACATCGTCCACCAGCGCGTCCGCATCTCCAAGAGCGGTGGAGCCTGTGAAGGTAGAATCCGGATCCGATCCAACCGATTCGCTGCTACGACCGAGTGATTCCAGCTTCGGTGCGGCGACCCAAAGATCAGCGTGGATTCGAACCAGTGACTCAAAGTTCGCCAAGGCTCTCATTTCGTTCGCCCACGAATCTACCTTCTCGCGTTGCCCCGTCTGCCTTCTTGACGTGATGGGTGACATTTTTGGATGCAACTTAATCTCATTTAAGACGTCAGTATCCGTAGTGAAGTTGTAGAGATCTTCCTCCGATCGTTTCCCCGAATTCCACTTCATGAGAAAACACGAAATCACGATCAAGGCAACGACAAGACAGCCTCCTACAACTGCAAACCCTACCGTCTGCCTAATGTCGGTGGTTTGCGGGCCTGTACTAACCGTAACCCATGGTGTATATGGACTCTCAACTGGTGAAGACTCTGGACTGTGACTGTAGCGTTTGTAGATTGCGGAAACTGAGACGTTGTATGAAGAACCGGGCTGGAGCTCGGGTAAGACGGCCGTGGTGTTCTTGACGGTGACCTGGAGAACATTAAAACTCGTCATTATGAAGAAAATTAAACTGTTCTCCAACTCAAAAAGAAATTAACTCACCAGAAATTTTCGACTGAATCGCTCAGTTTTCATCGTCTTTATGACCCAAGGGGTCAAAGTTCGTTGTAAGTCGGTACCGCCCTCCGTCACGGTTATAAAAGTCGCTATGTAAAATTCGCAATACCAGCTTTGTATTCCTGTGGTTTAACAGCATTTGGGAGGAGGCTGGAATCCTTTTCATTTACCCGCACGCACTAGTTTGGGGGTCTAAAAGATAAGTCAGTGTGGCCTCACTGCAATATACTAACCTGTCGCAAGGTGCCGCTTGACAACTCCAAGTACCGAATCCTGTACACGTCAACACAATCGTACTCGTTCTCGGGCGGAAACCACGTCACGACGATCTTCTCTGACGTCACTTCCGCCTTCCGCAGGTTGGTTGGAGCCACGGCGTTAGTGACGTGTGACGGGACTAGAACTTGTTCACCTGGAGTCAAGTCAAGTCAATCTTTATTGCACAACAATTGTAACGGGTACAATGCATGGCAAACTCTTCAGTACTACATATCTGACTTAACATCTACTCTCACGTCTACAGTAATACCTACAAGTTCTATGTATCGAAAATAACATTATACTATTTCAAAAAGGTAATATAGTACATGTATATATATACAATCTATACAACTTATTAGATATATTTGAAATATGCTTAACCTTCTATTTCGATTACCTATTCTGTGTATTGCTATGATTGTTGTTATTGACTATTTTGATGTTGTAAATGTGTTTTTGTATGGGGGAGGGCAACTTGTAAAGGTGCGTATGCACCTGTTTTGCCCTCCCTTTCACTTTGTGAAAAATTCAAATAAACAAATAAACACCTGGAGTGCATCCGGCCGACGTGCAGGCCGAGGGTTGAACTGTGTAGGTGTGAAACGTCGTCAGGTCCGACAGTCGGATGTGACTTGCGACGGTCTCTCGGATCGTTACATGTTCGCCTGTGCCTGTATATTGACGAGATCCATCGTTAGAGGGAGAGCAACGACAACGAAAAATAAGGGTCTAATCAAAAAGAGAAGGAAGGAAGGAAGAAAAGAAAAGAAAGAAGGAATGAAAGAAACGAAGAAACGAATGAAAGGAAAAGAAAGAAGAAAGAAAAGAAAAGAAAAAACTAATGAAGGAAAAAGAGGTAAGAAACAAATGAAAGGAAGAAAAGGAAAAGAAAGAGAGAAAGAAAGAAAGAAATATAGAAAGAGAAAAAGAGAAAAAGAAAGGAAAAAGAAACGAATGAAAGGGAAGGAACGAAAGAAGGAAGAAAGAAAGCAAGAAAGAACAGTAATAATGATAAAGAATAAATAATTAGCAAAGAGCGTGTTATATACCTATGCTGCGCGTTATTGTAACCTTGTATTTCGTGATGACGCCGTTCGCGTCACTGGCAGGCGGCGGGGTCCACCAGACACGGATGGCCCTGAAGCTACGGGTCTCTGTACTACAGTTGGTGGCCGGTAGGGGTCGCCATTTCACTTGGGTTGGTCCGCTTGAGGGCTCTGGAGGTTTTCATGATAAAAATTACTTCATTTTATTTGTTGTTTCTTGTTTTATTTATTGTTTCTCACAAATACAAACACATCCTTTCGAAATAAAATTCAAAATAGACATTCATGGAAAATAACAGACATATCTGTAAAATGGATAGAATTTCTGCAGATTGACTACATATTATACAATGGAGTTAAACTCCATGATTATACTATTAGGCTCGCCCCTGAGGCGTCGCCAAAAATGTACTCAGCCCTAGCATTTATAAGATGTCTGAAATCATGGTAAGTCTCGCCTCTTCGATGTTTAGGGGGCGCCATGCAACATGGGTTGGTCCGATTGAAGGCTCTGGATAATAAGTACTTTATGTTTATTTGTTGTTTCTTATTATGTTTAACTAAGGAAAACACATTGTTTTTGCTCAGTTTCTTCTTCTTCTCGGAACAGTGACCTCTGACCTGGTCAATGACATGAATAAGACCGTCTCTCACCATGGTAGCTGGTGTTGGCTTACATAATGTTGCAATTTTATAGTAGGAGGGATTTAGACTCCTGTCACCATATATGTGAATGTGTTTGAGCAGATAATACGCGAAAGTAAACATTATTCATTTGCTTTGCAAATGTTACTTTTCTAGTTTTGTTGTTTATGAATACAAACATTACTTAAAATAACAGACATATTTGTAAAATAGCTAGAATTCCTGCAGATTGGCCACGTACAGATTATACTATTAGGCTCGCCCCTGAGGCGTCGTCAAAAATGTACTCAGTCCTACCATTTATCTAGATGTCTTCAGGAAATCATGTTAAGTCTCGTCTCTTCGATATGTAAGAAATCATTTCGCTGCCATTTGTACATTGCCGAAAGATGTAACTAGGCGGCCCAAACTCATGTCACTTCTTTCTTAGCCCAAGAGCTATCTACCGTCTAAAATTAATGACACTAGCATGTCCAGATCATGGGATATCAAAACTGGAAGTTCTGCTGCAGTACCAACAAAAGCCGCTAGGGGGCCCAAAATCTAATCAGTTCTAGGTCTCATCAAGACCTACCCACCTACCAAGTTTCATGACAATGCATATGAAGCTTCTGGGGTTATGCTGTTCACAGACAGACAAACAAACAAACGCTACTGAAAACATAGCCTTCTTGGCGAAGGTAATTATGTGTTCGTTTACTTGGTGATCTGGTTATGGATGGCATACAGCCAAATAGCCGCTGGCTGTAACGTGTTAGTTGCTTATTAAAATTCACCACATGTACATATGTGCAAGGGCTGAGGGAACAGGTATAATCACCTTTACTGGTATGACTGTAACAGTGGGGGGTTCATCGGCGCTACCAACTGACCCGGTCGATGGGTCTAGACCTTTTAGCTGATTCAGTAGGAGCGTCTGATTGTAAGCTATCGGTGAACAGCAAACTAACGTGGTCTTGATGCTTGGTCGCTTAGGCCACACCGACTTAATTTAATGGATGACATCCTCTGAAGACCCCAAACTAGTGCGCGCGGGCGAATAAAAAAAAATTCCGTCCAAAAATGAAAATGCTACTAAACCACAAGGATACAAAGCTGGTATTGTGAATTTGCGGCAGTATATAGCGACGTACACGACAATTCGGCTTTTTGCGGAATTTATGAATTGGCACTGTACGTGTACGTATGTACTGAGTTCTTGAGTCGTGGATCCTCGGTAGCCTGGGTGCCCGCGGCTCCGTATTGTCGCTAACTACCATGGACTAGTACCCTGGCCAAGAGCCATACCAGAGCCTCGGAGGAGGTGATTTTTTTTTTAGAAAATCAATGCGCGCGCGGATGTCATTCATAAAATTAAGTCGGTGTGCGAGTTAACAAGAAGTGCTTTGAACGACATATTAGCCTTAACTATGGGGTTAATATGGTCTGGGAAGCATGTTTGAGGAGAAAATCTTTTGCCTTCCCGATGTCGCAGGCAAGGGCAAATTTTCAGGACATACAGAACCCACCACGTTCTGCATGAAAATCAATAAAAAAGGCTAAATAAGTGTCATAAACAAAAATAAATGCCTACGAAAAATGGTATTTATAGCCAGATTTGTGCATGGGCCTCCCTAACACTATAAGGCTTGTGATAAGATCAGTGAAATTCCAATCCAAACGCGCAGTTACAAGTATGAATGCGCGCTCTCTTTTAACGACAAAGAAAATGGCCTTGGGCACCACGTGAATCATCGACGCATTGGAATGTCAAAGGTCACAGCAAGTAAATTTTATGGATGACATCCTCCACAGACTCCAAATCTAATGCGATAGGGCGAAGGCGGGCCAAAAAACAAGATTTCTAGATTTTGACATAAGCTTTGTTAAACAAGACATGATAGCTATATATTGTGCTAAGTTTGCTGCCAACTATTACAACATCCATTTTTTTTTCTAATCAGTGCAGAATGAACCTGATCTTAACATCGTATCTGTATCTGTATCTGTATAGCCGGTATAACCGCCTTTCGGCGTAACACACCAGCTTCGCAGGCACGCGGCGCGGCGGCAGCTGGCTATATTACACCGATCGACTTGTTACACCTAACCCGTATAACGATGGTCTTCGGTTCAATATGTCACATCAATTCCCCTCGCTTGATTACACATACATACCCTTATCAAATACATTATACACAATTGCATGGTACATAATTGTCAAAAAGTAGAAAATCTCTCTGAAAGAACATTGTCTCCTTTCTTCATATTTATCTGCCATCCACGTTCCGACATGGCAACAGTCATATTTGCCCATTTTCGGCGTGTTGACCACTGTCAGAGGAAACAAAATTTCTTGTTTTTTTTTCCAAAATCAGGGATAAATTAATGCGCGCGCTGATGTCATCCATGAAATTTACTTGCTGTGGCCTAAAGAGTAACTACAGACGTTACATATAGTTCACTTAGCATGAATACAGATCACGCCAAGCACGCATGACTAACTACTTAATCTTTAACTACACCTCTGAGGCGGGCCTAGTAGTATAATCTGTAGTCAGTTTGTAGGAGTTCTAGCTTGTATATGTCAACATTTACCACGAAAAGGACTTTTACATTTAGTTTCATAAGGGTGATGAGTACTCAAAGTGGACCCTTACCCAGTTATTACTAGAAAATTATACTATCAATTATACTATTTCCTGAGAGGGATGAAGGAGGCTATTTACATCAGGGCCCACTACCCTTCACTTAACCGCGACGGGGGCCGACATCGTCTACAAGATACCTTTGACTGAGTGTTGACGTAACACTTCAAGGAAGCCACCTGACAAGCCTCACTGGGTCAGTCTACTGAGGAAGACCAGAGTGACTGGTTGAAAGCTCTAGGACTAGGTGAGAGAACTTTTGTGTTGGACCAAAGGATTTCACTTTAAACATGTAACTACCAACAAAGATGAACTTTCATGATAGAAAATTGTACTCACTGCCCTCCGCTGTCCGTTGGCAGACATCCTCGCTTGGCAAGCCCCTCTGAACAGCCCAGATAGACTTCACGAACCCTGTCACTTCTACACAGTACACCGCGCCCGGTCGCAATCCCGTGATGATACACTCCTCCTTTTCCACCACGAAGTCTCGCGCGTTCTCGCGGTACCCGTCCAGCCAATACGAGACGTTGTAGAAAACGAAAAATTCTTCATCGAAGTCTCCCATGGTTGCCATGGTTTCTTGGTTGTATCTGTGATAGTAAGGTGTTGCAGGGTGTTTGATTCTGACCTCCAAATCCCGAAGCTGCAGTGCTGAGGAGGTGTCCTCATTGGCTGACTTAGCGATGACGTCGACATCGGGTGGACCAATGAGAGTATGCTTATATGGGCTGATGAGAAACAGAACATGTAATTTTAAAATAAAACATTAATTTTTGTATCAAAGACAGGAAGCTTGACTTAATTTTAGACAGAATTCCGAGTGACTAAATTCTGAGCTAGTGACATGTATATAGATAGATAGATAGATAGATAGATAGATAGATATAATCTGCTATAATCATACTGAATAGCATCTTTTTTTGTGAAAATCTAGTTCAAACTATGGAATCCACCCCGATTTCAAAGTTAGATTTTCAAAGCTTACCAAATTTCCCCACCATCAAAACAGCAAATTTTCAATAATTCAAAGCTTACCAAATTTTTCCCATTAAAACAGCAAATTTTCAATAATTCAAAGCTTACCAATTTTTCCCCATTAAAACAGCAAATTTTCAATAATTACCTGAACCATTCCGAAGTGATGTTCCAACGACTCGGTCCCAGAGTACTCACTGCACGAACTCGTACCCACCACCCGTTCCAACGGGGTCGAAGTGGCCTTCCCGTCTCTTCATCTCTCGCGGAAATCTCGTCAAAAAACCTACAACAGGGGCCCGAGACTCCCCTACAGTCAGAAATGAACTTCCAGGTATCATGAGATCTCTTGTACTCTTTGTCGTCGATGTACTGTGCGTCAAACGTCACGTTTCTGTCGTCTGAAGTTTTCCCGCCATAGTTTCTGTCGTCTGGCGTTCTCCCGCCGTGGTCTCTGTCGTCTGAAGTTCTCCCGCCATAATTTCTGTCGTCTGAAATTCTCCCGCCGTCATTTCTGTCGTCTGAAGTTCTCCCGCCATGGTTTCTGTCGTCTGAAGTTCTCCCGCCATGGTTTCTGTCGTCTAAAGTTCTCCCGCCGTGGTTTCTGTCGTCTGAAGTTTTCCCGCCATTGTTTTTGTCGTCTGAAGTTCTCCCGCCATGGTCTCTGTCGTCTGAAGTTTTCCCGCCGTAATTTCTGTCGTCTGAATTTCTCCCGCTGTAATTTCTGTCGTCTGAGGTTTTCCCGCCATCGTAGTCCCAACAAACTTCGTTGTAAAGATTTCTCGAGTTGATGTGAACGTTTGTGGGCGAAGGTGGTGCCTCGCTATCTACAGAACGTTCAGTTTTTGAGGCAAAATCGTTCATGGCTGACACACGCCCCTGGGCCAGGGTGAAGAGTGTCGCTAGGACGGATAGAAACACCGCCACGACAGTTTGAAAATCACCAGCGGCCATGTTGCATCCGTGCCAAACGTGAAAACGACTGGACCACCTGTATAAGTCTAACAAGTCTGTTGGCCGTTGTTCAAAAAGAAGCAGCGCCGTAGATTGTTTACAAGCATTTGTTAAACATGGCGGTTTAAATGTTAGCAAATCCAAATGCTGTCCAACTAGTCGGTCCACTTCCGGCACGTTCTTCTGTCACGCACGCACCTACACGGTACACGCCCACCCTAAAAATGTCAACGCGTGAACATGCATGAGTGAACCTATAGTCTGGTAACCAGCAGACTGCCGTGAGCTCAGCGCTATCCCTTCGGCGCCGAGAGCGTTTGGGGCCGCCAGCCAGGCCTCAATACCGCGCTTGGTG